TGTGGTTCTCCTTGCCTCATCCACTGGATGGCTGCCAGTCAGCGTCCGCGGGCTTGGGAACTGTCCGTTCCCTGCGTGGCCGTCCACCACGAGCAATGTCTTCCATCGCATTTGTCGATGGGCTAGGAGGGCATGGGGGCGAAGGCAGTTCGTTGGGCACGGCAGACGTCGCGGTCGCCGAGATAGTTGTAGAGATAGGTGCCGACGTTGACGTCACCTCAGGCAATGTCATAGATGAGGTAGACATAGCTGCCGCCGGGGTAGATGTAGTAGACGAAGTTGCCGCCGAAGTAGACATAGCAGCCGCCGAGGTAGACATTGTTGCTGCAGGTAGGGAGGCAACCAAAGCGGTCACGGCCAACGGCGTGAGCCCGGGCATCAAGGCATCTGCAGGCACCGAGCCGTTCTGTGTGTCGACAGCCAAGGGAGACGCCACGGAAGAGGTGGAGGTGGAGGATCATGCGGTGGGCTGCAGTGGTACACTGATCACATCAAAGTTAAAGGTGAGGGTGGGGCTTGAGCTGCTCACATATGTCAAGGGTGGGTCTGGTGGGAACACAAAGGGGACGGGTCTAAAGCATGATCAGGCAGCGGGATAGAAGTGAATCGGTACGGCGCATCCATGAGGTCCACACTCGTGGGTAGTGAATGCCCAGGAGGGCATGGGTTGAACTCCTGGAACACGTTGTTCTCGATGGGTGGTGCGTGCAGATAAAGCACAATATTCTCGGCCGAAAAAATGTTGTTGTCGTCGACCAAAGTGTTTGAGTCCATTGCGGGTATTGACATTGACGGAAGAAGAGGAGCGATGGGCATGAAGCCCTTGCCCCAGTTCTCGGCCCTCGTGGTTGATGGATCAAATGCGAGATTGACATCACCACTTGCATCACCTGAGAACAGCGCGAGCGCAGACACGTCCAGCTCCGGGAGTGCGGACATTGGTGAAGCCATGGCCGCCGCAACATCAACAGCAGGAGGAACAGCGTCAGCGGCAGGCGCCGTGATGTCGGCGACAGGAGAGACGATGTCGACGGGAAGCACCGGAGCATTGGCGGCAGGAGATGCGACTTCAGCAGGGGGTGGTACAACTTCACTAGCAGACTCAATCTCAGTGAGAGGGGCTGTGGCCGTCATCTCCACGCAGTCGGCAGGCAACACAGCATTTCGCGAGCCAGATAGTGCTCAACGTGCATGTTCAGTGGGAGCTAGAAAGTGTATCAGAAGATGCAGCGAAACAGATGGCTGACGACTCACAATACTTCGCTGCAAGGAACTTCCCAAAGGGCACCATGAGGACCTTCTCGAGGCCTGGGAAACAAGCAGCGAAGTCATGGCCGGCAGGAGTTGTACCGACATGAAAGCTAGATAAGTAAAAGGATCGGTGAACACATTCGCAACTGAGTCTGAAGATCTCACTCGAACGTCTGCAGCGCCCCACCCTCCTCCGGCGAGGGTCCTCCACCGTACACGCTGACACACATGCCTGTTGCAGCCGCAAAAATCTTGAGGAACACTACCAGCACCTGCGGCATCTTTTTGATTGCGCTACGAAGCAAAAACGTGTCAGCACCCCGGAGCGGAGGAGGATATGGGTAACGAACCCGTGGTATTCCTCCGGCATGCAATTGGCCAGCGAAGGCACTGGCGCCGGCACCGCCTTCTTGGTTGCTTCAATGATTGCCTTCTGTTCTTCAATGTAGCTTTGGACCTCGGCTAGAACCTCCGGCGACTCCAGCTTGAGGGCTGACGCGAGTTCGCAACGCAGGAGATTGATGTTTTGGCCTTTCAAACCGTCTGTGCTCTTCGTTTCACTGGTGAGCGATGGTTTCACCTTGGTTTTGTAGTAGAGCTTTGAATAGGCTTCTACGGGCTGGGGTGCGCGTTTCGCTGGAAGTGGTGCGGCCAGAAGGAGTGATGCTAGCGTCAGGGCCTTCGGTCTGTCGCGGCGCGCCGCATACACCCCGTTGTAGAGTTTGTCATGGATTTGCTGCAAAAAATGTGTCAGTAACATGACGCGATGGTAGCATAGTCACGTACCTTCTTGCGCTTCTGCAGGGCGACACCGTATTTGGCCATCTGCTCCTCAGTGAGGTCGTCTAGCACGACATCGGGCCCAAACATCTTCGTCAGCTCCAGCCATTTCTCAAAGAAGCGCTCTCTGTCTCCGTGAGGAACTCGCGACCTTGACAGCCTTCTGCGCAGCAAGAAAGCCCTCTCTGTGGTCTTGAAAAAATTGCAGTTGCTCCGGTGTCGCCCATGACTTTGGCGGCATGTCTGTCGCGTGAACATCTGTCAGTGATGGCACTGCGCACTGCACCCGGTGCACGTACCAGGTGACTGATCACAATATCTTGAAGGTTTGCCAGGTGGAAGGAGGAACTTCTCATGTACAAGAGATGGTGGTGAGTCAACATTTTTGCACGAGGTTGACGCCGGCTTTGACAGCGACTGTCCACGTCGAGTAAAGAAGCGGCCTTGCTTTCGTTATCAAGCATGCGGCCAATTAATTGCAGTGGGGAACGGCAAGCGCGGCCAGAGGAGGAAGTGAGGGAGGCGAGTAGACGGGCGAGGATCGAGATGGCGAAGGGACGTGGTCGTCGTGCCACATGATGCATGAACATTGAGATCAAGGGGAGCGCCCAAGGCGCGCACAGGATCATAAGGACCAAGGTGGGCACCTTCAACCCGACTCGATGCATATTCCCCCGTCTCCGACGACCATGACGACGCCAGTGGGCCCAGTGCCCATGGGTGCATTGTCGAAGACACCAGCGGCACCAGCGAGCCCTGTGCATCAGCGCAGACCGTCGGCGTCGGTTTCTCCTGAAGGTAAGTGCTGAGGTCACACCCCGGCTTATCTAATGGCAGACTTAGCACGGTCCCAGCGCCACGCGGCCATTCTTGAGGGCCTCCTGAGTGCGCCGCCTACGCCCCTCAACAACCTCGACGACCTCCGCATGGCTCTTCCTACTCTTCCGGTGTCTTCACCACATGCGGGTCACCCGGTTCTACGCACACACCATTCCCCTGTCGTGACTTGACCGATTTTCATCCTGCCTCTGCCTGCTCGGTATCCGCTTCCGGATGCTCCTCTTTGGACGACCGCCTCTTCGCCACGCCGGGCAAACGAACTGACCCGATTATTGATGAGTACTCGCCCCGAAAGGGCAAGTGGTACGTAGTTGTCGTGGGCACCAAAGTTGGTGTGTTCAGTCACTAGTAAGTTTGCGTGATTGCCCTCGTCTCAGCTGTCTGATGGCACTGCCCAGTGCGGAGGCGGCGAGATACGTGAATGGAGTTTCTGAGGCGGTCCATCTGTCCTTCAGAAGCTACGACGAGGCACGGGCTGCGTTCAAACGAGCCGAGGACAACGGTGATGTTAAGGTGCAGCCGGGCCCTGTCAGTGGAGGCCAGTCTCGCTTCAAGCCCTTGAAGGGCTGATTATCTACTGTACTTAGAGCTTCCACTCGCTGTCCTGCAGTCGTACCGTATCGTGTTGTATTGTCAATCAAAATGTAGCTGTCGGAGTCATGTGCATGATCCATCGAGGTTGAATTTAATGACAGCACGGGCCACGGCGTCTCTCACTCTCCCTCCTCTCAGTAACACCATGGGTCGACGTGCTAAGTACTACACGGATGCCGAGAGGAAAGCGGCGAGACGTGCAGCGAGAAGAAATATAATGAGACACCTACGTGAGTTGGTTCCATGACATCATATGCGATCTTGGCGGCTCATGGTGGACTCGTCAGCGGAAAGCAGTCGCACTCTTGGTGTCACTACAGAGCACACACCAAGAAGCAAGAATTCTTCTCCAGCCCTTTCCTGGGCTGGGACCCATCCACCCTACCACCGCGTCTCCTAGAGCTGGCTCGCGAGCCATTCAAGTCACTCGGAACGGTCGAAGAGTCATATACGAGCGACCTCGGCCTTCACAAATGGCCGTTTGAGTTCGTGGGCCCGGAGCGCGATGTACTGGAGGGGAATGATCACGACAGTGGGATATTGACTGCCGAGCGAGCAATGCGCATGCTCAATGGCAGGCAGTTGGAATTCATGGTCGAGGCGGGGTTTCAGCGGATGAAGCAGACGAAGGCTGTGGGCAGGAACTGGCCGGTCGACGTCATATCTGCGTTGGAGTGCGAAGTGAAGGAGAGGCTTACGGCTTGGGAGGCAATCACGCAGAGGAAAGGGCGGGAACATACAGTATATGGGAACATTGCTCGTGATGTGTACCTTCACTGGGGCGCGAAGCATATATGCGGTTTACTGAAGGAAGTGGAGGACATCTGCGCAGGCGTCACACGACTGGAAGAGCTAGAGGTCCAAGGAGGCTTAGCATGGCAGAGTATGAACATCGTCACGGACTGATTAGATAGACCATGTATTCCATGAGTGACAAGCTGTATGGCGAACACACTGTTGAGTCTGAGCCAATAAATCAAGCTTGAATGTGGACAGGACTTACGAAGTACTAGCCTGATAATGAGTATTGAGGATGGATGACACTCATCGCTACTTGGACGCAATGCAAGTAGCAATGCACCAACTCCGAGTCTCACCTCACTCTCGTGGCTTTACTACGCCTGTGTATCATACCTTCGAGGCGTGTACATAAGAATAGTATGTACAGGATGAGATCTATGCCTAGTAACAGTTCACCGATCTAGCTAAGCTAACGCACGTAGTGTTCGACACACATAGCTATGTTAGCATATGTCGCAGCCATGGGAGGGATCTTTAAATGGTGTCCGATTGGCTGAGCGACTGTGTTGCACATCGATCGGGGCCGCATCTGGTGGTGCTTGCCTCCCAATCTGGTACTGTGTTATCCCTCACGTGCCTCTCCCGCAGGTTTGCACGCCTCCGATGTGTTCATCTCGACTTTGAGGTGTCGTCTGTGACTCCGGCGACCTGTGCGCACTCTTCCATCAGCCTGAATGACGACGAACACCTCTCTGCGCTGTGTGCGCTTATGAGCCTCTCATGGGGTAACTGGTCAGTCTTCTCACTGCCATCGGGTCTGGGCCGGTTGATGAACAGATTAGCGGCGGCGGCGTCATTCGACACGTCGTCCTTGTAGCTATAGGCTTCACCATCGCCGACGGATTCACGCTGCTGTCTCGCGGCGGCGTGTCTCCGTGGTTCCCGAGGACCAGCAAAGTTGGCGAGCCTGGACTGGAACTCACCCTTAGGTACGTGTTTCTCCCACTCACCATTCTGCGATGTGAGGTTCTGTTGCGCGACACTCTGGCGCACTAGTTGAGCAGGGACAGCAAGGCCACGTTAACAGTTGCGCGGCCGCTGATCTAAGGTCTCGGGCTTCCTTAGCAGCTCGAGGACGCTCTGATCGACGCGGACGTGTATTCATCAGACATTGAACTGATGACTCCTTCAGGAGCACCATCTTTGCAGGATCCTCGCAACGTGCATGGTATAGTTCCGCCACGAGTGTTGGCCGGCCACTATTCAAGCGCAACCCCACTCAAATTGGACTCATCCTTCCCCTCTTTGGACAGAGAAGATAGTCTTGGGCAGCCCATTACCTTGAGCCATGTGGTGAGTAGCCCTTCTCGCAACTCCATGGAAGCCTCGCCCGAGATCGGTGTCATCTATGCCGACGCCGCAATATGCTCATTCTCGCTTGTTTTGACAGGTGTCTACTCATCTTTGCGAAGCCTCCCGTGTCGCTGTGTCACGGTCCGCTCCTGCCCCTGTTGCCCACCGTCATTCGCACTGTGTTGCCAGCATCATGTCTGGTGCACGGAAACGACGGCGCGTCGAATTCAAGTTCCATACGGTCGTTGAAGAGGAACCCGGTCACATGCAGGCTGCAACGGAGAAGGCGCGGCACACGGTGTTCGTGTCCGGCCCCCAGGGCCTCACCTCGCAGACGTCCTTCATCGACATACCATTAAGTCATGTGGCAGGCGACGCCCCTGATCTCAATCATACCGACGCAGACAAGGGGCATGTGTATGTCATCACGGAGGCAGACACAGTGGAGGCTCGTAGACGTTGATGAACCGCCAGTGTGAGTGCACTCCGCACGATAATACTCGATCATGACTAACCTTTGACTGTACAGGACCATCCATTGAAGGAGTGGAGTGCTAGGATTGACGAGTGGCTCCTCGAGCTGTTGCGGCTCGAAGGCCGCGTGGGCTTCACAGACTCGCGATGCCCGACATGCAACAACGGAATTGCAGAGTACCGCTGCGAAGACTGCGCTGATGTCCAGCTGTATTGTGCGGGCTGCACAGCTGGCACGCATATGTGTACGCCTCTTCACCGGATTAAGGTGAGCAGTTCCTGAGCGCGGTGACCTTTCATTATGACTGAAACCTTTGCCCAGTGCTGGGCCGAAACTCATTTCCAGCATGCGAACCTCAAGGACCTCGGCGTAACTATGCAGATGGGTCACCCGCCGGGCCGACGCTGCCCCAACCCCAAAACGGCCTTTGACGACGGCTTTGTTATCCTTGACGTCACCGGCATCCATCACGTTGCGCTCGAGTTTTGTAACTGTCATCAAAAGGTGCACCTGCCCACCCAACTCATGCAGGTGCGGCTGTTCCCCGCGACGGTCACAAATCCGAAGACCGCTGCCACGTTCTCGCTCATGGAGCTTTTCCATTTGTTGCGCACCCAGTCCAAAATCTCAGCCTATGAGTTCTACCAAACGCTCGCGCGACGGACGGAGAATATAGCACCGCGGGAACCAGCAGTGAGTGCCCATCAATCGTACACCGAACTGAAAAACTAATCACACCTCGCACAGGATCGTTACCCCGCGTTCCTGTGCATGTCGCGGGCTTGGAGTCACCTAAAGATGCTCAAGCGAGCAGGCCGTGGACATGACGTCTCCGGTGTCAGCGGAACCGCATGAGGCGAATGCGTGGTGGAATGCCCGGCATGCCCTCATCCAGGCAAGAATTTGCCCGATCATTGGCAGGATGCTCCCGAAGGGGAAAAGTAAGTGGTACCCTGTCACTCGTGCACCTCTAGAGCTGATAAGGATATCAGATGGCTTTATCGCCTGTTTGTCGGCCTTGATGCTAATTTCCGCCTTAAACACAAGAAGGTCTCCAGTGTGGCGGTCGACCCCGGCCTGAACAAGGGCTTCGCGTACTTCGTCGAGGACCAGGCTTACAAGGAATTCCTCAACACCTTCGACATGAAACTGCCGCCCGAGATGAACACATGCCACAACCACGACGCCGTGAAGCTCGCGAACATCAAGAAGATCCGCGAGACGGACGCAAGCGGAGTAGCTACCGTCGAGTGCATCAGACATGACATGAAACGACCAGCCTCCGTAGGCGACCTACAGTATGGCGAACGGTACGTAAAACGACACATACTACCTCGCTGCTCTCTAACACGTCCACAGCTATGTAAACATGGACTATATATACTTCTCTAGCCTCACACATCACTGCACCGTCGAGGTGGTAACATCCTACGACATCTTGTGCCAGTGGAGCCGCAATTTGCCCGTCCGCCGGGATGTCTATGGCCTCGAACTTGATCACATACAATGCAAGTACCTCTTCCTTGTGCCGAAGCATCACCTCAATGTGCACCGTCTCGCTTGCCAAATGGCGTACTCATTCAACTACACGAAGGGCGTGGGGCGCACCGACAGCGAGGTGGTCGAATGAGGCTGGGCTGCCGTGAACCCATTTGCAACATCTACCAAAGAAATGGGACCCGGCCATTGACGCGACGTGTTGGACGACGTGTTTGCAACCTACAACTGGGGGAAGGTCCGGAAGCTCAGTGCGTGCATTGTAGCCAATCATGTGTGGCGGCCCTAACAGTGTTCTGTTATAGGTCCGACACTTTGTAGGAGGCTGGAGGAGGCTCTTGAGCACATGTGCACCATGCACCTTGCGTTCGAGGAGTTCGGGGAGACCTTACCGCGCGAGAGCGTGCGCACATGGACGGAGTTAGTCGAAGCTTGGGAGGCTGACCCTACAACCTCTGTCAATCCTTTAGTGATGACGGAACCTGGTGCGTGACGCATGCATGTGCCTTTGTCTCTGCTGACATGAATCTAGTGGTGACCGTGGCGGCAGTGCACCTCCAGCTTGCTGAAGAGGAAGCAATGCACTTACAGGCAGGTCAGGACTTATCGTGTCACACGAGCATGTCGCTGAGTGTCATGCTCGCCGGACTTGATCTGGAGACCCAGCAGTAAGCCCACGTAGTGATTACACTCCCGGCCCATCCTCACGACTCCCCATTGCAGATGCCGCCTTCGTCGGGAATCTCAGGGACTCGGGGAACACAAGCAGCGTGCGACTTTCCAAGAGCGGCTCAACGGTCTCCGCCGCAGACTCGAAGCTTGGTTTAAAATACAGCACGCGTACATCCCCGGTGCCGAGTCCTTCCGTGAACGCCTAGCACGCGATGCGAACAAGGACCTCCCTGCATACGACATACTGTTCTCCTCCCCTCTGGGATCAGCTCAGGCCTGGAGGTCAGTGTTTTCTTGCAAGATGTTGAGTGGCGACTGCGCTACGCTCAAGCCCACAACACTCTCTCGGCCCTGCAGCGCAATCTGCACCTCAGAAGCCATCTATATTTGTTTAAAGATTGATTCGTTCGTGATCAACAGGTGAACACCCGCACGCGGTCGATTATCAGCACGACACAAGCCAAGGTCGACGAGAGTGCAGGGCAGTATGCCGTGCGCGTACGGCATTGGTCTCACTCTCGGCTACGCTTGGCAGAACAGGCTGGGAAGCCACACTCCAGGCCCTCGAGGATCAGCACATTTGCGGGCTAAGACTGGATGAAGGCAAGGAGACGGAGGGACACCGCACCTTGTCCTGGATTTGGCGCACTACGTCGCTTGTAGGGCCCGAGGACATCCTCGAGAACATTGATGATCTTAACCTGCAAGAAGGTATGTAGGTGTGATCTTTCCCACTGTAGTGGGGAGGCTAATTCACATATATAGCTTTGCGTGTGGAATGGTGCAAGTCCCGTGCAAGGGCGCATCGGTGGGAAGAAGAAGTTTATCTACTGGTTGAGGAGATGTGTCGGGTCCTGGCCTACCACAAGTGGGTGGCACAACAGTGGCTCGGCAGGCGTGACATCCGTCAAGAATTGCCAGCTGAAGTTCAGGAAGGCTTATCAGCATACACTAATTGCCAGGCCGAAGTCCGCATGACCCTGCGATCAGTATGTGCGCACATATGGCAGGAAGTAGGTATGTGGGTGACAAATGCTATGGAGCTGATTTACGGAGACGGAGTCCTGGCCGCCGACATGTCCCAGCCTGCGGTCGCTGTGCAACCAACAAGCATAAACATGTCGACGAGCACAAACAGCGTGACGATGAATGCAAATCACGCGTCAACAAATGCGTCGGATGCCGCGTCAACGAGCATGCCGGGCGCCGCGACGACGAACACATCGGGCGCCGTGTTGACGAACGCGTCGGGTGCCGTGTCGACAAGCATGTCGGGCGGCACGTTGACCAGCATGTCGGGCGGCACGTTGACCAGCACGATTGGTGTGTCAGTGAGCGCAATTGGTGCGTCAGCGAGCGTGAACCACCCATCAACAGGAGTCACCACTGCATGGCAAGTGCAGCTTCAAGCACTACGTGCTGCAAGTGAGCCTTTCGTCGGGGCGCACGAGGTACGGGAACCTGCAGGTGATGGGTGGGAGGACATGTGGGAGGACGAACCACGTGGGCCTACAGGTGATGGATGGGAAAGCGAAGGGTGGGACGGTGACGAGCAGGAGGAGGAGAGTGTAGCTTGAGGTGATCTTGTCTGCCTGTGGTGCTTAGTATATTGTCGATATTGTGCATGAATAACGGATTTTACATTTGCTGCATTCGGCCGAGCCTGATGATTTGTCGGGGCCCTCAACATACCACTTTGGGAGGGCCACCACTATATTATTCTCGTGCGAACCACATCAAGACATGGAGTACATAGTGATTGACCATCGTGGCGAACGAATTGCTAAGTGTATGTTGTGGAGCGCGACATGCAGCATGTATGTCATGATGCACGACATACATGCTGCTCATCTGTCGAATCTCGATACAAACTATCTAGGCACGACGGTGCCAAACAAAGCTCTATATGTGGCACTGTACCTAGCTCCAGAACACGTCAGATCTCGCTGATCACACATCGCAATTGTGTTTGCCCGATGGGTCCCAAATTGGGAGAGCACGCGATAGCACCTATTTTGGGTAGGGCCGCCGCCGTGAGCTCTCCCCGGCGCTGGCTGTCCCTAAAGGGCAGCTGCCCTTTCGGGTAGCGAGCGGAGCACCGGCTACGGTGACTACTGTGCCTTCATATATGAAGGCGCACAGTAGTCACCACGATTCATGTATGACCTGTTTGTGGTAGTCACCGGGTTTCATACATGACTCTGCCAGCTACTGGTGGCTTAGCACGATCTGTACTTACCATATTCGTCCAGTGTGTACGCATGTTTACATGCGGACACAATTCTGCTTCCGCGCTCTTCCCGATTAGGGGAGTTTGTCTTTTGCTTCCGTCTTCTACTTCCTACTTCCGCTCTACGAGTACTCGCTCCGCTTTTTCAATACAACCTCATCTCACACAGCTCGGCCAATCCATTGAGTGTACACTGCCGGACAAGCCCGGCAGTGTTCCACCCAGAGAAACTCCTTTTCAGCTTCTTTTGTCATGAGCGGAGTGAGCAGAGCGGTGTGGGTTGCCAGAGAAGGGAGAAAGCTGGAGATGTAGCGTACAAGCCCTAAGAATGCAAGTGCACATCGGAAGCGGAGCGAGGTGTTGGCCAGGAGAGGATTTTGTCGACTTTGGTACCGTCAGCTTCGATGCCGGTGCGAGAGATGTGGTGTCCGAGGAATGTGAGATCCGTGCAGAAGAGGTCAGTTTTCTTGGGAGAGCAGTAGAGTCAATGATTGCGGAGAGCCGTGAGGATGGTTTCAACACTTGCTGGGGAGAGGGCCATAGCTGGCAGTACGATCCCTTTTGTAGGAGATATGTCAATTTATGAACAACTTCATGCTGCCCGCATCAGAAGTCATGCTTGGCAAGACTGCTAGTATATTGTCTATGCATAGAGTACTGACATATCTTCCACATTTTGCACTTCAGAGTAGCCTGCTAATTTATTAGGTTGTTGTAATATGAGGATCACAGCTTGCAATCATGAGCAACAGACATTATGGATCTGTTTCTTACTTGGTAAATTGCCAAGTTGCTTATCAATATGATCTGAATACTAATGAGCAGTGTTACTGGTTTGTATTGATAGTAACATAGAGCAAATAGCTTGGGAATGTTGCAAAGAAGTAAGGAGATCCTCTAGATCAACTAGAACTCAAGGAAGGGGAATCTGGGGGGTTGACTACAGTAACCACTACTCAGTTGGGACTTGCTGTCAGTGCTGTTGTACAAGTATTAGCCCTTGATCTGAGAAATTCTGATACCAAAGGATGTATTACAGTAGATTGTTAACAGTACTTCCCCAAGTACAAACCAATCAACAGTGGAGGATGGAACCAATATACAGAGGAGAAGTATACCAGTAAGGAATTCTGAAAAAGGCCTGTCAAGAATTGATGTGTTATACAAGGAATACAACCAAAGAATGTGCAGTTTGCTCTCACCATAAGTGAACAGTTACCAAACACTGACCAGTAGTACAAAGCCATACTAAGGTATGTTACTGGATTGGAGCTCAGCTCCTGAGTCAATAGTAATGGGCTCATGTAGTACAATGTGAAGCAATGTATCACCATAGTAAGTGCCATCAAGACTGATAGAGTCATGGGCAGGATTGATCACTGATGGATTGAAGGTACACTGGCATAAGAGTACAGAAGCAAGTGGTAGATGAGATAAATGTTTGGACTTGCTCAGAGGGATGCTCCTTTTGTGCATTTATGCACAGCCTTTTAGCTACATAAAATACTTCATAGAATCCTACAAAATAGTAGAAGACTCAGTACACCACTTTCCAAGGCCATTCAAGATGCACAATAAGCTCACAGGCTCATTGTAAGGCAAGGGTAGATGTGCCAATAATTCTCACTGATCATCAAGGATGTGCTCTGTGATTCATGACACACCACTTGCATGTTGTCCTGAAACACTAGCACAGCCTTATGAACACTAGTCACTCATAGATTGCCTGCCAGCTGGGATAATATATCAATAGATAACATAGTCTGAGCTAATAGAACCCCAGTAATATCTTTCACAAGGGGTCTAAGGAGACCACTAGAAACATAGTAATAGTCCAGTCAGAACATACACCAATAGGTGCCACAAAGAATAACAATGTGGGAACAAAAGATCACTGAAATCTGGTCAGAAAGCATTGTGAACCCCAAATGAAGTCCATTAAAAGGATCTAGAATAAAGATAACAAAGCCCAGGAGTGATAACAATTCCTGCTGCCTACCCTATTCAAAGACCATATCTATGGAATTTCTTGTAGAAAAAGGGGTTTCAATGCCTTGTCCCTAACAACAGACTGCATACTAAGACTTGCATATGGGCCTTTCCTGGGTATTCTAGTAATGCCTACTATCAATGGTCATGCTCTCTGATCATAAGTCCAAGGATTTCTATATCTTCAGACATACTCCCAAGATAATCACCAGTGTCATTTTCTGGCTGACTGTTCATTATTTTGTGTGCACATACAATGTATGGTACTATATTTGGATTACACACTATATTTTTCATGTTGACATTCCTTGGGCATGGCAGATACCACCCAGGATCAACTGCCAAATGGTGTACTGGTAGGCACACTGCCACATATCAATGCTGTTCAAATATCACACATGTTCACACCTGGGTCTAAAGTGTTATATTTCCACTTTCCATATAACATGAAAGGACCCAACATGAGTAGCTGATATTTCATCATCACATGTAAAAGGAAACAGCTGCAGAAATGAGAGTACTCCCAAAGTCATATTGTTGACTAGAGATCCATAAAAGGACAGCCATATATTGGCTCAGAAGTCCATTGTAATATGGCCTCTTCACTGTTGCTTAGTAAGCAATGCAAGTCTGCATTATTTCCATGGCAACCATGACTTCTTCTGAGCCCAATCAGGAAGAAATCACAGCATACACTGCAATATGAGTGATAGTAGACATTGCACTAACAGACACCACTGTCAATACATTTTTTCCCATATGAACAAACCAAGAGCTGCCTATTCTATCTTCACATACCAAGGGCCATTGCATGAGAATAGGATGATGGTAGTGCATACAGACATTAGATATGCTCCAGGCAAAAATTATATGAGCAATTAACAACCAAGCATAGCACCATCATACTGTATAATTGGCACTGCTTCATATTGATACAATCAGTCAAAGACATGCTTATACTGGACTGGGACAATAGAGCTGCAGACATCAGGCTGTGAACTCTGCATTAGCACATCTGAGATGTACTGTCATGCATTGGCCTACAACAGTCAGCACAATATGATGTCATGGGATCATCTGATTTTATCTCATTTCCTACCATTTATCTAGCATTGCAGAGACCATCAAAGCATTTGATCACCTATGTGTGGTGTCCCTACTTTATGACATTGCTAGCCTATAGACTTTCTAGCAACAGTAGTAGATGCACAACACAACTTGTACAATGTCTTTCTATCACTTTCTAGGATCAGTACAGTGTCATAAAGCTCTGTGAACCCATAATATTGATAGCTATGCCATTCACATGTGAGACAGAGCCAATATTATGAACATACTCAGCATTAACTGTGGCCTTTGTGCCACAGGTGTTCACCATTTTCTGCATATGCCATTGCCTGCCAAAGGGTTTAGACATGAGCCAATCAATACTTATAGCAAGCAGTACAAGGTGAGTGGAATCATACAGAATATTCCCTTGTTTTATCCGCATTTTCTGAGCCCAGACACAGCAGATAACTCGGACTTTCCATTTTGAGAAGGTCAGGTACCACATATGGCAGGTTTCATTCAGGTCTCATATAGCCACACAATCCATAGGCAGTTGGCAAGCATCACAGGAAACACAAACAAAGTGAAAGAACCAGTGTGTACAGAGGAATATGTATTTTATTTTGCTTTGTGAATGGTGGGTGCCATGTTTATATGAATCCATGGGAAGGCATACTATGTACATCCTCTCTGACATTATATACATGACTGGCAATATTCCCAACTGTTTTTTGGGAGACCATAGCACAGCAAATACAGTGTCACTAATGAGCTTGGGCTTGCTTTCAAACTCAGCCCAATAGCCTGCCTTTGCAGGGCCTATTGAAGAGTTGAACTGAACAGAATAGCCTAGGATCCTGTCTGGAGCTGCCAGTCCCTGAGAATTCCAGGTGATAATGGTGCTTACAAGATGGACCAAGACTCATTGAAAGAGTGGCTTGTATCAGGCTATGCATGGAAAACTCAGCATTATTACATGTTTTCTGCCATATGGCCTCAACAGTCAACCCAATACAAATCCATAGTACTATCTAATTTGTCTCTGATTTTCCTGCTATTTATCCAGTAGAGGCCATGCATGGCTAACTTCCCAAATGGGCAGGGGACTAACCATATATGGCAGTTTTGTATGTTTGATATCCCCCACCTCACAGAATGCATACATGTGGAACTGTCTTGTACAAGCATCATACACACACCAACATTTGCTTATATCCCCAGTATCACTTGCCAAGGTCAGTACTCTGTGAAAAACAACAAGAACACCTAATCTGGGCACCCCTGTCAGTACTCAAGGGGCATTCCATG